TTTTTTTTTTTTTTTTTTGGTACCGGGGACTGAACTCAGGACCTTGGGCTTGTGAAGCAGGCCTGGTGCCACTGAGCTCCATCCCTGGCCCGTGTCTTCTTACTCTTAAGGGTTAGGGTGCTCTGCCATCATTCGGATGTTCAGTTATCCTCCACGGGCTATTTAGATGGGTTCTTACTTGGTGTCGTAACAAGTATCCTTTGGTGTACTTTCATACTGTGTTCCCTAAATTTTGGAGGATTACTCATTAAATAAATATTTTAGGCTTTTGCTGTATTATGAGTGCCTGTCATCAATATAATTTTTTTTCCCTCCTCATAACCTTGCCAAAACTTAAGACTCAAGTCTCCATCACCTGGAGTTTTTCATTGTATCTGCCAAGCTACGTTGTAATTTGTGTTTTGGTCCAGAATTTCTCATTCTTTCACTTAAAATGCCTCAGTTTCTCATGAAAGCTGTTTATAAGGAGAATAGTAGCATGCGATTACATTCTTAATAACTGGAGTCGTTGCTACATATGTGTGATTTTTGCTATAGATTAGACAACTCTGTTGTACATAAAAACATTTTTTATTTTCTTAGGAGCCTTATATGGAAGGTGTGAATCCATTCATCAAAAGCAACAAACATCGTATGATCATGTTTTTAGATGAACTTGGGGTATGTATATGATTTTCAAATATTTTAGAGACCTGCAATATACCGAGTAACTGATTTAAGTAACAATCTTAAGAAACTTCTTTTAAATCTACCTTGCTGAACAAAATTTTAATTTATTTATAGTTCAAACCATTTATTCTTACATTAAGTGATTCTTATCAACCACACTGTTTTGGCTTTTCAACAACTTTCTAAATTCTATCTTGATTTAGCTAATCCATCTTACTATCACTACTGTGTCATTCTGAGGACTCCTTAGTTTTTACTGTGCAGCTACTATAGGATTTGAAGCAAGATGGATAACCCACAGTTCTTACTCAGTTAAAAAGTAAATAAAAGGAGTGCCCTTATGGCTGTTCTAGGAATCAAATTACACACATTTGGCAGTTTGCCTCATTCAGGTGACTACTACCTATACCTCACGTATGCCTTTAGAAATAATAAAATAGTGATGACAGAATTTAAATGTGAGATAAAAATGTTTAAATCCTGTTTCTTGGTAAAGTTAAATTTTCTGCATTGTAGAGATTTTTCAGATATTGAGTCAGTTTTCAACTACTGGTATTAGTAATTCAGTTTAGAGAGACAGAAACCAGAAAGTAGTGCGTACGTGTAAATTGATCGAGGTTTACGACTAGGTGGGAGAGGGAGGACCACACTCTGCTCTAATGCATTCACACTCAGTTAAAAGCACAGGTCAGCAACACCACACCACTGCAGCCAACGTGAGTCAGGTCAGCCTGTAGCCTTCCTGTGGTTGCAATCTTAGGTACAAAAAGAGTGTTTCTAACTATTAGAATATGAACTCCTGAGACATTTTTATATGAACATTTCTCATTACCAGAAAAGTACAGTGATTAGAGAAATTTTCTTGCTAAAATAACCTTTAAGGATCTGCTTGAGAAATGTGTGACTGTTTATGGTGGTTTTTTTTCAGGTTGTATTTCTAGGCTTTAGCTTTTCTGTTAGTCCTGGTTATACCACAAAAACTAGCTTTTCAAAGCTGCTTAGAATCTACACATCCTGTTACACCTCCAGTCTCCTTTTGTTCTTTCACTACCTACATAAATCAGTTCATCTTTGAAGACTGTCCTGCTTCCTGTGTTTTCCCTACATAGCTGCAACTGTGTTGTGATTGGTTTATACTTCTATTCTTTTCTACCAAATATAAACCCTCTGAAGATAAATGCTTAATGCTTGAGGGGAGGAAAGGGGAGAGAATAGGGGAAAAAATTGCATTTCATTTCTATAATCCTTTAGTCATTGATGAACAAATGAGTAACTGGGTCATTAAGAATATATTCTGCTTAATGCTTCTCTATATCGTAAGCACAAGAATTTTCTAATTTTTAGGCATGTGTAAGTCATTAAATAGGTGAAAACGTATATAGTTTTTGGTAATCCAAGCCCATATTAAATTAACATTGATTGTTCTCTCACAGCAATTGTTTTGAGCATCATTCTATGATAATATAGCTATGTTGAAGAATTTGGACAAACTACCACTAGCTTAATGAAATTCAGTCTAGGAGTTTTAAGTTTAAATTGCACTTAATCTAGATTAGCAGTTAATACCTGTATTATTTGTCATATATTTTAGAGTAGCGGTATTATGCCATATTTTAACATGTGGTAAAGAAAATGGAACCTGGCTCTCACGTGATGACAGAATTTATAAAACCATATCGGAACCTTTAACACACTATTTTATTTCAATGAGTCCTTAGAATTTTAAGAGGAATTTAAGAGAAAAATTTCAAATACATCAAATTTTAAAAGAAAATGTTAAAAATTCTATCTACTATACCCACTTAGAGTCATTTCAGAAGAGCCCATAAAGACTTGTATATCTAAATGCAGTTTTGATTCCCTTAAAAGAATGTACCTGAACTTCCGGACACTACAGAACATTCTAGAACTGACCTGTCCCGTGATTTAGCAGCACTGCATGAAATCTGTGTGGCCCATTCAGATGAACTGCGGACACTCAGTAACGAGCGTGGTGCACAGCAGGTAGGTTTTTACCAGCCATTCATTAACGATGTTTCATTAGCACTTAACATAGGATGTCAGTTAAGACTCTCGGATTTAAATTCATAGCTCAGTTCTGATGATTTTATTGGCTACATTACACTTATAAGAATCTGAATCATAATCGAGAAAGATGTTAGCCCAATGGACCACTGTACACCATGGTGTCACACACCTGCAATCCCAGCACTCAGGAGGCTAAGGCAGGGAAACTGCTGCATTTTCCAGGCCACGCCGCCTACAGTGAGTTCAAGGCCAGCCTGAACTACGTAACACCTTTCTCCAAAAACAAAGGGCCCAGACTAAGATGATATGCCCTTAATACTACAGAATGTCACATCTTGCTTTTAAATCTACACTGTTGACGTCTGGAAAACGATAGTGCTTATACATTTTAACAGCATGTGTAAAAATGACAGGTGAGCATAAGTAGCAGGGCAGTAGTGGTTTTGTCTGTTACATACTCTCAGTGCGTGGCCAGAGTGATTCTGAAATTGGTATGCATGGTAATTGTTTGTGAAGTCTGGTAAAAATATATATTTCAAACTCCAGGCTTCTGACAAGTGCTTACAGGGTTTCAGATCATGGGGACTGTAATCCCCACCAGTTGCTATTCATAGACTTCTGCTATCCAGATAAGATACAGATTAAGATGTTTTCAGGAGATCAGTTGAGTTATCAGAGATGGAAGTGAATAAAGCAAACCATGTGTTGAATGGCCTTAGCTGGGACAAGATCCACTGACAGGAAGTTACTGGCAGCATTTCCTGAGGCAGATTTCATAGGTTTCATGATCAAGGGAAGGTCATCATGGAACTGGCTGTGCATTTGGCAGGATTTCCAAAAGACATTAAAATGCTGAGTTTGGTGATTGACTCCTCTTCAACCTAAGTCTAGAATCAAGTCCCCTTCCCGCAACTTAACATAATAGTGTTGCTTATTTGAGTTCCACTCTAGTAAGGAATTTATACGATTCATTTAACTCTAGGTTTGTAAGGACAGATCCTCCAATAAGATGGTCTGTCCTAGAGATGTTTTGGTTACAGGAGAATGCAAAATACAAACGAGTTTCTGTTAACTTCAGTGTACAAAAATAACTATTTTGGCTACAACCAAAAATGCAGTCAGTATCAAATAATATAAACTCACCTATTTGAGTAGTTTGCTAATATTTCATGAGTTCCTCTGATGTGGCTTTTTTTTAACATCCAGGTTCTCACCCTATAATTTCAAGTCAGGATTTCATTTATTTGCTAATTCTTTTCCCATTGTGTTTCTCTCTAGCATGTATTGAAAAAACTTCTGGCTATAACAGAACTGCTTCAACAAAAACAAAACCAGTATACAAAAACCAATGATGTCAGGTAGCAGCCGTCGTGGGGTTTTGCATGGATTTGACATGCCCAACATGGTAATTGACATCAGTAAATGTCTCCTCTGCTCTTGCCAAAAAATAGCACACCTTTCCACATTCCAGTGATGTGTGAACTATGCAAAGAAAACTGAAGATTCTGCTGGTGACTCATGACCAGCACCTCTGTAAGCTGTCTGTGCAGGACATTTGTACTTATCCACATGGAACCTTCAACCAAACTGTGAGCCTTGGTGTACAGATCACCTTTCACAAAAAGATGCTAGGACTGTCTTCAACTCCGAAAGTATATTTTCAATACATCCAATTGCCAAAGTTTTACTGTCTTTTGGAAAAAGAACTATGAAACCAACTGACAAGTAAAAGTGTTCTCTATTGACAACTAAGGATAACTGGACTCTAGACTGTTCTCACTGTAACTTTCCTGACTGGGAATATGACCATTTGACTGTTCAACAACTGTATTTACAGTTTCCAGGGTTTGTCATCATAATAGGAACAATCTTTGCTATATACTTTTTAAAAATACTGTGTTATTTCTCATTCTGGAACTGTTGAAAGAAAATATATAGAATGGATCTATTGCTCATCAGCTTTATTTTTTAAAACACACCACTTATTTTGTTGGAATTGTCAAAGATTGTATTTAGATTTCAATGCTTTTGTTAAATGTTTACAACAGTAAATAGTTTGAATTCAGTAAGTATTATTGGTCATTGTGCTGATCTGTGCATGTTACCCATTCAACCATTTTATAGATTCCCAATTTCTTTGTGTAAAAAACTAGAATGCTTTTTAATTCAGAATTGATTTTTGTACCCCTTTGATTATGCAGACAACTTCATCAGCCACTCACACAACTTACCCACCTTTGAACTTCTGACTACTTGTATCTGCTGGGCTGGATATTTAGTCGGACTGTATAGTTTTAATTTGCTTCTGTATGTGTATTTTTGTGAAGTATTCACAAGGGTTAAGTTAAAATAAAACCAAGGGATATCTTGCAAAGTGATGACTTCTGTCTAAATATTGCCAAGCTTTTAATTTGTTTTCTTCTCCCTTTAGGGGCAGTTAAAACTTAGGCACCAGAGTTAATGGTCTCTCTTGAAAAACATTCCTTCTCTTTCAATATGTATTTGTTACACAGTTATTTCCTTCTTTCCTGTGTATGTGCAGGGGAAACAAGACAGGAAACATACCATGTCATGGAATATTATTAGTAATAACATTGGGGAGATGGAAACCCAGTGAAGGTATGAGGATACCCAGCTTCCCACAGTAAGACAAATTTTCTAAAGGCTGACATTCCAAGAGCAACACTTGATTCACTAATATTTGAAACACGGGAAAAAATGTTAACTAAGCTTTCTTTGCAGTATTATTGATATAGTTCTACCACTGAGCTGTACTCCCAGCCTCTAGTGGTTTAAGGTGTGGCTGTTCACGAGCTTCACATTATAGAAGGTAATTATTTCTGTGAAGGCACCCAGCCTCAAAGCTTCCGTCACACTTCGGCAGTGTCACTCCGACTCAGCACGGCCACGGCCCTTCCCCTGATCTTCACGCCTCTCCATCTCCCCCTCTTCTCTGAATTACAGCACTTTACTTTCCTCTTCTGTTCCTCACGCTTTGGTTAGACTACCACAGTAGTGTCCAGTCGTTCTCCTGTTCTTTTACTGGACAGAGGACAGATTGGAAGGGACAGGCCTAGTAATATTTCTAAAATGTTTTTAACCTATTCCAGTCTTTCTCCAAAGCCATTTATTATAAAACAAACTTGAAAAATGTATCCTGCTTTTTATAGGTATTTTTTTTTTTTTTTCAAATTTTAGTGGGAAACTTGCTACTTACCTTTGTAGATCCCCCTTATATTAACTACATGGTCAATAGATAAAATAGATAAAATCTCTAAAACATTTTTTTAAATGGGGCTGGTTAGGGAATTTCAGAGATAGATGTGGACTTTGTCCTGATGCCAAAGTTTAGTGATTGAAAGGGAAATGGAGGTAAAAGTATAAGCGTTTTGCAGTTCTTTCTACAGTCTAGCATAACGCTAGGACTACACTGAACGATTTACAAACTTTGAGTTTCTACTCAACTTTCATAAAGTCCCATCAATTTTATTCATTTCAGAATAACAAAACCAATAACCACCCAAAAACTTGTGCCTAACACATAAATGATATATTGCCATCACATACTAAGATGTAAGCAAAAATGCTAACGACTCTCGTGGAAAGTATAGCCTGGCATGCACTGAGTCTGGGGTGGGTGGGTGTGTGTGTGTGGGGGGTGTGTGTGTGTGTGTGTGTGTGTGTGTGTGTG